TTAACTCAAAAAATTAACTGTGATTTTAAAAAATTAATCGCGATTAATAGCCGTTTTAATCAAGCTGTTAAACAATAGAATGCCAACTGAAATTTATTAAATATTTTGGATGGTTTTCTACATTTTCAAATATATTGGTTTCAATTACAACACAGAATACAAAATGTGCAGTGCTCACTTTATATTATTTTTAATTAAATATTTGCACTGTAAAACTGCTAAACAAAAGAAATACAATTCACTTCATACAAGTACTGTAGTGCTCTCTTTATTGTGAAAGTGCAACTTACAAATGTAATTTTTTTGTTTTATTTTTGAGTTCAGTTATGTAACAATGTAAAACTTCATAGCCTGCAAGTCTACTCAGTCCTACTTCTTGTTCAGCCAATTGCTAAGAGAAACAAGTTTGTTTACATATATAGGAGATAATTAGGGCTCTACCAAATTCATGGTCCATTTTGGTCAATTTTACGATGTTGTAATTATAGGGGTCCTAACCCAAAAAGGATTGGGGGGATCACAAGGTTATTGGGGGTTTTGTTGCACTACTACCCTTATTTTTGCGCTGCTGCTGGTGGCGGCGCTGCCTTCAGAGCTGGGCAGCTGTAGAGTGACAGCTGCTGGCTGGGAGCCCAGCTCTGAAGGCAGAGCTGCTGCCAGGAGTGGTGCAGAAATCAGGCAAGTGACATGCAGCTGATTAGCAGAGTGTGTGTGCATCCAGCAGCGTGTGTTCAGGTGCCCCTCCCCCCTGCTGCTTTGCAGCCACATTGCTCCTGCAGCTGTGCAGAGGTGGGGGGGGGGGGCAGGGAAGGAGGATGCTGATGTCAGGGTGTCCCTCTGCCCTGTACCCCATATCTGCAGGGCAGAGTGGACAGCCTGGCTCAGGACTCACAGCTGCTGCGGTTTGAGGTCTGAAGACTCCAGCCTCTGGGTGGTGAGTGTCTTGTTTAAAGAGACAGCGCACTGTCTCTGAGACTTCCCCAGCAGCCAGCTCACACGGTCTCTGTCTGTCTTTCCCCCCACCCCCACCGCTTCACATGTACCCCATCTCCGCAGAGCAGGAGCAGCAGAGACAGGGCTCAGATTTAGGACAGAGCAGGTGAGTGCCTTTCAGTGAGTGCTGTCTCTTTAAGGCACACAGTCTCTCTCAGAAATTTCCCCAGCAGCCAGCACACGCACACTCTCACTCACTCTCTCACACTTGTGTTGTTGTTACTTCTTCTTGGTACTTCCTACAATGCACATGTATTCTCTGTAATTGTATTCTTTCAAAGTGTGTTATTTTAGTGTTTTGACTGGTCTATGCATTTCATAATTTTTATTTCTCTTATACTTAAATTTAATTCTTTGAGTAGTGAGTTCTAAAATGCCTAACCTGTCCTGGATGGAGTAATTATCCCTATCGTAGCTTTTAATATATATATATATTATATCTAGGTTTTTTTTGTTTGTTTGTTTCTATTGGTGGCACACATCTGCACTTACCTCGGTGCACATAAAAAAAAAATGTATTACGCACATGGAATCGAAAACATTAGAGGGAACATTGGTGGCAATACTGTGACCCCCTAAAATAACCTTGTGACCCTCCTCTGCAACTCTTTTGGGTCAGGACCCCCAATTTGAGAAATGCCGATCTCCCCCGTGAAATCTGTATAGTATAGGGTAAAAGCATACGAAATACCAGATTTCTCTTGAGGAGACCAGATTTCTTGGTCCGTGATGTGTTTTTTAAGGCCATGAATTTGGTAGGACCCTAGAGATAATGCTGCCCACTTCTTATTTACAATGTCACCTGAAAGTGAAAACAGGCATTTGCATGGCACTTTTGTAGCCAGCATGCAAGGTATTTACATGCCAGATATACTAAACATTCGTTTGCCCGTTCATGCTTTGGCCACCATTCCAGAGAATATGCTTCCATGCGGATGATGCTCATTTAAAAAAAAAAAAGCATTAATTAAATTTGTGACTGAACTCCTTGGCAGAGAATTGTAGGGCTCCTGCTGTTTTACCCTTATTATGCCATATATTTCATGTTATAGCCGTCTTCGATGATGACCTAGCACATATTGTTCATTTTAAGAACACTTGCACTACAGATTTGACAAAATGCAAAGAAGGTTCCAATGTGAGATTTCTAAAGATTGTGGACATTGCTCCACCCATCAAGACTGAGGTTAACAATTTTACCCTCTAGACCTTTTGCACACTGCTCAATTTCTATTTCATACACTTTATCCAGCAGTTTGCCTGCGACATCTGCTCTGTTGGGTGGACTGTATCCTGGTCTTAATGATTGAACCATGTTAATGAAGTGAGGGTTCTCAATCATATGGAAAGGAGATCTTGTTGCATAAAAAAGCGGGCGATTTTTTTCATCAGTTACCTCTTTTTGTAATCTGCTGGTTCTTATCACAAACTTATCTATAGTTGTTTCTGGATGATGGAGATTTTTTTTTCTTTTAGCTACAGTGACGTACGTGATGTGACTGAAACACTATCATTGGCATATAACTCTGAAACTATAGAAAATGATGGTGATCTTGTAGTCTTGATTTTTATCCACCCTGGTGGGCAAATGGACCTGAACTAGTAGTCTGCAAGTTTCAGATTGCTTAGTGCTCCAAGCCTACAACTCTACACTATTGTTTATTTTATTTTATATTTATATATATAAAAAATATAAAATATAAAAAATCTAAAAATCTAAAAGGAAAAATAGAGGCAAGGTGGGTGAGGTAATATCTTTTATTGGACCAACTTCTGTTGATAAGAGAGACAAACTTTCACGCTTACACACAGCTCTTCAGGTCAACCTGTTACTACTTGGACTGATTTTTCAGAGGCCAAATTCATAATTTAATTCAGATGATTTAAAATAAAGGATGGTCTGTTTTGCCTTAAAGGCAATTTACCTCAATTTAAAAAAATCTTTACAGTTCACACTAAATTGCCCAGAAGACTTTATTTTTAAAAATGCCCATCCTAATGTCTTGAAATGATCCAGTGTGAAGGGGTTTTCCTGTTTAAAAATAGAGAAGTACTTCTTTAGGTACCAGTGCTGCAGTTTATATGTCATCCGAACCCTGTGACCTTGCTGAGTTCCATTGACTTTAATAGGGCCCTGCATGGGTACAGGGATCTACCCACGTAGTCAGGAGCAGAATTAGGGCCTTAGTGATAAACCTTCTAAATCCAGAAATTTTCTCAGATTTAGAGCGAAGAAATAAAATATTACAAAAAGAGCAAACACCTTCAGATGGGAATTTTTAATTTTATGTCTGAGAGAAACTGAAAATAGGCTTAGTACCTTTCTATTTTAATCAGGGCAACTAGGATCAATTTGGACCCAAAATTGCAAACGGCATAGTGGTGTAATAAATGTATGCTTTTGGACATTAGAATACTTTGTATTCCATCTGACATCCATTTTGAGATTAAAGACTAAATGTAGCATTATTAATTTTTGATAACTTTCTAAGAGTGATTTAGGAATTTGCAGGAATACGGTGAAATTTTCTTATTTGAAATTTTTTTGTCAAATCAGATTATTTATTATTGTATTGAAACTATGTACTGTAGGCTAATGTATCCGGATAAAAAGACTTTTAATAAATGCTGGTAAGATTAAGAGCCAGGATTCATGGATCAGACCTTACTGTTGTCACAGAATCGCTTACTTTGAAAACCAAATTAGTTCCTGTCTAGAGTAAAAAGAAACTATTGTGCAGTTATATATTTTTCCTTCAACTGCTAATACAAATTTTCATAGTTGCTGGCCTAACATTTAATATTCGAGTTCCAACTTCTGACATGTAAGAGTTAAAATTCAAGGTGAGATTTTAAATGCTTGCAAACTCATCTGAAATAGTAGATAGTTTAGTGTTTATAGAAATGAGAATCCCTTATTAAAATATCCTGAATTTTTCTTTAAAAACAGATTTAATGGGACCATATCTGGAGGTCCCCAGATAATCTCCATACAAGAATATTAAAGGAACTGGTACATGAAATTGCAAGCCCAATAACAAGGGTTTTTAATTTATCTGTAAACTTGGTGGGTTGTACCCTGTGTTTGGAAAACTGCAAATATATCACCTATATTTAAGAAGGGCGGGAAGGGAGGCAGGGAAGTGATCTGGGAAACTGCAGGTCCATTGGTTTGACCTCAATTGTATGCAAGGTCTTAAAACAAATTTTGAAAGAGTAGTTATGGACATAGAGGTTAACGGAGTAAATATCTGCAATGACTGGAGATGGGTCGTTAGAGAGGGAAGGCCCCGAGTAACTACAGTGAATTCTTTCCTAGGTGTGTGTGTCTGATGGGTCTTGCTTATATGCTCAGGATCTCATTGCCATATTTGGGGTCAGGAAGGAATTTCCTCCCAGGGTCAGATTGACAGAGAACATGGGAGGTTTTTGCCTTCCTCTGCAGCCTGGGGCAGAGGTCACTTGCCATCTTGAAGCAGAGAAAACGGTGGATTCTTGTAACTTGAGGTCTTTAAATCAAGATTTGAGGACTTAAGTAACACAGCCCGAGGTTAAGGCCTACTGCAGGAGTGGGTGGGTGAGGTTCTGTAACTTGTGATGTTCAGGAGGTCAGACTAGATCAGTGGTTCTTAACCTTTACTGCAGCCTGCACCCCTTTGGTTCTCAAAATATGTTCTCGCACCCCTTATCAAAAATCGTTGAAGTAGGTCAGTTCTTTAAACCTAGATATATTTTTTGTTCGTATATTACAGTAATGGTTAAAAACACATAATGTTAATAAATACATAGGTTTGATTAAACAAAGTAGTTGTACTTACGTGCCTGTGCTTAATTTGTGTGTTTGATGATTTACCTTCTAAAAAAATCTGGCGCATCTCGCACCCCCAGGGGTGCGTGCACCCCAGTTGAAGAACCACTGGACTAGATGATCATGATGGTCCCTTCTGGCCTTAAAGTGTGTGTGTCTAAAATAATATTTTGATATGTTTATTTCCTTTTCCTTGTAGCACAGAGATACTCCTGAAAATAACCCAGATACTCCATTTGATTTCACACCTGAAAACTATAAGGTATGGAGAAAAGGGTATGTTAAGTATCCAAATCTGAATCTTAAATAAGTGTTGTAAACAATTTTTTTTTTTTTTACTAGAGAATAGAAGCGATAGTAAACAACTACCCAGAGGGACATAGATCAGCTGCTGTGATTCCAGTACTAGATCTGGCCCAGAGACAGAATGGATGGTTGCCCATATCAGCAATGAACAAGGTATTTAATCTGTTTTTTTAAAAGCATTACTGTTACTAGTTTTTGAGCTAAATCTTAGCTTTACTAATAGGACGAGAAAATTATAATTTCAATACTAAAATAAGTTAATTCAAGAATTTAAATTTGGCACAGGATCATGAGAATCCCAGAAATTCAGAAATTTCCCTGTAGGAGAATCCTGCCTCTGCACATGATGCTTGCTTAATACTAGAAACTCCAAAATTATCCGCAAAACAAAACTTCAGTGAACTTTATTCAGACTTGCTGTGACCTTTAATGAAGAAGGTTGAAGAAGAGGTGTGGGACTGTTCACTGCTGATGGGAAAGGAAAGAGGAACAAAGTACTGGTTAGACTCCCTTTCTTCAGCTGGGAGAGAATCCTATCTGTGGTGCAGCTGAATGTAATACTTTATCTGGAGGATGTGGGAGAAACTACTCTAGACCAGCATTTCTCAAATTGGGGTCCACGGACCCCTGGAGGTCCGCGAGGGTACTCCAGGGAGTCCGCAGGTCCCGCTGATCAACTCCTCCACTTCCCTCCCAGTACCTCCTGCATGCCAGGGAACAGCTGTTCAGCAGCGTGCAGGAGGTGCTCGGAGGGAGAGAGAGGAGCAGGGATGGGGTGCACTCGGGGGAGGGGGCAGAAAGAGGCAGGGAAGCGAAGGCGGGGGTGGGTAGAGGTGGGGCAGGGGTGTGGGGCCTTGGGGGAAGGGGTGGAGTGGAGGTGAGGATCTTGGGGGTTTGGGAAAAATTTAAAATAAAAATGGGGGTCTTCGGGTTGCTAAAGTTTGAGAACCGCAGCTCTAGACTATGTCTACACTATGAGCTAGGGGTATGATTGTCTTGCTTATGTTCAAATACTCATGCTAGCTCTTCTTGAGCAGCACAAGTATAAATAGCAGTGTAGCCACGGGAGCATGGGTAGTGGCAGTGGTGGCCTGGCTGAGCCATGGTGAGTACATACCCACCAGTTGCAGGTGAGTTTTCACTGTGAACAAATGTCTAAATACATCTATAGACAAAGATTCTCACCCCTGTGCGAGAGAGGCTGGGGCAAGCTGGGTTCTGTGTGCTTTCTGTTGGACCATTGTCCAAATAGAACTGTTTCGTGGAACATTTCAATGAATTGGCATTCTCCAATGAAAAAATGTTCCTTTGGCAAATTTCTGACCCGATCTAATATTAATTATGTTCTTCTGAGGAGCGGTGTTGGTTGTCTTTAACAATCTTTCCCAGCACAGCTTCAGCTGAAGTAATGTAACGGAAATGTAGACATTTTCTTCATAAATAACCCAGAGTTTTGCTGGGAATAATGTAGCTGTTTCAACTCCTGTCTCCTCATATGCCCCTTTAAGAGGTAAAAAACACTTTCCAAAATGTCTCTGGGAGAGGAGTCATTTCAGAAAAAAACAATAAAACAAAAAAAACAGTCCTATGGCTTTGATAGGTGATCACCGTATTGCTTTAGTAGTTTTTACAATCTTCTCAGTCATGTTTGCCAAATGAAGTGACACTAAGCTGTTTTTATGCATGGAGGTCCTATAAGTCCTTTCTCACTTAGTTGATCATTTGTAGCACCCAGCTTAAAATGAGCTTTGCTGTAATACCGAGGCTCGGAAACAATATCATTCAATGATACAGTTATTTGTAGTCTGACCAAGTTCTCCAGTGCTTTCAATTTTCATTCCAGCAAAGAATTATTTTTGATGTTGTCACGCTGCCTGCAGTGACTTTGTGATAGTTGCTTTACACCAAAATTCACATCAATATTCAGGTTACTCCCAGTCCCAAAGACCGACTAGTTAATTTGCACCTTAGATCTCACACCAAAGACAATGCTTATAGCCAGTCCTGTAACAAACTAACTAAAGGTTTATTAACTAGGAAAAAAATGAGTTATTTACAGTGTTAAAGCAGGTATGCATACACACAGAAGTGAGTTAGATTTTGAAAGATAATAGAAACTTCTATAGTAAGCAGACTCTATCTTTTAGAGCTAACCCAGGAAAAACAGCTGGGCACTCCTTGCTTATGCTTAGAAATCCTCTACCCTCAGAGTTCAAGCACCATAGAAATAATACATTTTCTTTCACAGGCATTTTTATTCCCTTCCCCAGTGTTCAAGCTGTGATGGGATGAGGGCTTGGGCACACCTTCTTCAGGGCTCTGAGGGAAGCAGTCAACAAAGTCTTTTGTCCACAATGGCTTGTCTGATGTCTATAGACCTTCTTTTTTGGGGGAGAAGACACTTCTTCATGGGTGCAAACCAGTATTTCACACTTCGTGATATTTCTTTCCTGACTGGATTTACAGTTTCAGAACAAACATTTTTAGTTACAGAACAAATACTTAAGTATTACCTTATAGCATGGGTTACAGATATAAGTGAGAATAACATATGCAGCAATTTACAAATATTGCATGAAATCTAAACACTAAATGCATGTTTACAAGTCTAATACCTGTTTTAGCAATATTAACAGAAAGGTGTGTCAGACTGGTGTCTTGCTATGCACTGTTCAGTGAGGCCAGCTCAAACATGAATTATATACATTTCAACCTGTCACTTGTCAAGGGTCTGAGAGTCATAGTGGTGATCTGTTATGGCTATCTTCAGAACACAAGAATGCAGAAGTAATTTTTGTATTTTTTCGTTTGTATACTACTACAGTGTTGTGAACCAGAATTAATGTAATTAGTGCTTTTGAAAATATTTCATTTAGCTGAAATTATTCCAGTAATGCCCTACAAAAATAAAAATTAGAAAAAAAATTTCTTCCCCATCCTATAGGTTGCTGAAGTTTTACAGATGCCTCCCATGAGAGTATATGAAGTAGCAACTTTCTATACAATGTATAATCGGAAGCCTGTTGGAAAATATCATATTCAGATCTGCACAACTACACCTTGCATGCTGAGAGACTCTGATGGCATACTAGAGGCCATTCAGAAGAAGCTTGGTATGATGCAAATTGATATTATGTTTTCTATAACTATTTGTGCTTTTACAGGCTTACAATATTTAACATTTCACCTATCCAACAAAAGCTTTCTAAACAAGGAATTGATATGGTGGTGACAATACAAAAAGAAAATATACTTAAATTCATAAGTTAATTCTTTGAAGTCTAAATTTGAAAAACTTTAGATTTGAAATAAAAAGAATAAGTATATTTAATAGCAGAATGAGATAAGTGTGATGGTTGGGGGGTAAACTATTGGCTAAGAGTGCCCATTGATGTTTTTATAGGCAATTTGTCAGATAATAAATCTGTCCTTTTTAGAAGTTATAAGGTGAATTTTGGGGACCTGAGAACATTCAGATTATCCCGTCCCCTTGAGGGTGAGGCATGTTCTCTTGTGTCAGTATCCTCAAACAACTGGAACAGGGGGTCTCAAATCAAGGTTGCTTTTTGTTTTTTTGTTTTGCTTATATAGGAGACCATTTATTTTCTCTAATGTAGCTGTGAACCACATTTTTTTTCCCTCCAGTAATCCAAGTAAATGTTTTTGAACATACCTGAAATCAAGGACTGGTGTTGAAGGCAAGCCCTTGCTCAAAGTTCTGAGTAAAAATAACTGTTTCCAACTTAATAGGGATTTAAATGTGTTGATTTGATCCTTTATTTTTTTCTAGTAATGTATCTTAGAGCAAGACTACCAGACATACAACAGTCTACTCAGCTAGTCAGGTTCCCTTCAGCATATCTTTAATATTGCATATCTTAGATGCATATATTTAATATTGCAACACCTGGATCAGTGTGTGGGGAAGAGACATTTGCTGTGAGTGTTACCCTAATCTTTGTTTAACTTAAATGGGATAATGGGAATGTAATTTATAAATCCTTAATAGTAAAGTAAATTTAGTAATTCCTGCCTGTATATGAGAGGCAGTGATGTGTGTCGCCCCCCTGCCCCCTTGTTTTTGTTTGGCAGGAGGGGAGGGAGAAGAGGGCAGCAGAAAGGAATATTAAGTCATGGGTTTGTGTCACAGGCTATGCTTATTAGAGGAAGCTCTTGGTACAAACCACTATAATTAAGGCAGTAAACAGTTTATTATAACCTTTTATTATGCATGCAGATTTCCAAAACATGCACTTTTTGGCTGAAATTTTCCATGCTTGGTCTCTGTCCAAAGGTGAATTTTTTTTGAAAGTTTGAACAAAATCCCAGTATCCGTTTTAAAGGAGAGTAAAAAATGTTTTTTTTCCGTGTTAAAATTTTTTAAGTTCAAATTTTTTTTGATGTCTAAAGTTTAAATCGTGACAACACAGTACTCATTGAGAACTAATGCCTTTTCTTGGTTTGAAGGGAGTAGGAGGGGGGAAACTAAAGTTATTTGGGAAAAAACACTTCTAAATATGCTCCATGGGCATCTGCTAAGAATTTTAGCAGAGCCTAAAGAAGCCCCAAGCATTTGTGACCTCACAGTGCACATTCACATTCTCCCTCCATAGTCTAGTAGGAACAGGGACTGCCACTTTAATGCTTTCAGTGGGAAAACTGATGTGAGAGAGATTGTAAATGACTTGCTTTAACACCCAGTTCCATTCTCTAAAATAATTGTCTTAACATTAAGGACAAGAAAAAAACTGAAGCTGCGTAAAACATTTTTATTCCTCAATTTTAGGGTGTTTGTAATATTTCCTATATTCTACGATATTCCACAAATTCTAAGTTCTCATGAAAAGTTGGGGGGTTTTCTGTAGCAAAGATAAGTAACCCCAAAATGTAAGAGAGAATTCTCTGCAACCAAACTAAAACACAGGAAAAGGGGTGAAATTAACACTCCATGCTGTGAACTTCAGTCTAATGGGGACCATTTTAGTAGTGCTGCTATTAAGCACAAGTGATTTCTTCCCCTCTTAATTGTTTTAAACAAGGACATTGAATTAAAAATAGCTACGATTTTAATATTAAGGTTGCACAGATAGGAAAATCTGGAAATCAGTGAAGTGATTGTCTAACATTGTTATTGTAACTGTTCACATTAGAACATTACACTTCTCAAACACTGCTATGTATATTACTTACTATAAATTACAGTACAAATGCCAGCAACGAAATAGCTGCTAAAAAGGGTAGCCAGTGCAGCCAGAAGGGCTCCCCCTTCAAACAATCAAAACAGCTAGGAATTGTAAAGTGTCCTGAAGGTAACTCCCACTAAAAACCTTTGGCTTGTTAAGTCGGGGAAGAAGGGTCGAAGGCTGTCCAGTTGGATGGTCTGTCTCCAGCCACAAGTGATCATATCGAAGCACTTGCAGCTCAAGAATCTCAACCAATCTTTGGTGTCAGTTTTTAAAACATAGGCAGTTTTTAAGGTACACAGCTCCCAAATAGTGAAGGACTTTACAGGTTAAAACCAATAACTAGAATTTCACCAGGAAACAAGTAGGAAGCCAGTGCAGTCTCCTGGAGTACACATGACTTCTTCCAGTTGTTTTGCCTTATAATATGTGGTGCTTTTGCATATGTACACACAATATCATGAATGCTTCTTGATAAATAATAAAACTTTTGACAGGCTTGCTATAATGTCCCTGAATATATGCTATATGCTTTTAGGACTAGTGTAGCTGAATTTAACATAACTGCTACGCAGACTGTTTTCATTATCCTGGTATGGAATATAATCTTTGTAATAGTTAGTAATTTTGGATCTTTTAATATTTAAAAAAGTTAGTTCCTTAAATATTGACTCAAAGTCTACCTGGCTGATATAATTGTGTGGATCTGACATTAAGATGACATTCCTTGTTTGTAACCTATCAAAATGGAATTTGTTGGGATAAAATATGGTATGGAGTGCTCTTTGTAGTCCCCTGGGAGCCACATGAAAAAGTATTTCATGAAGCTGTTCCAGGGAGTATAGTTTGAAATGAAATACATTTCACTGCTACAGCTGTCCTTACAGAAATTGACCATATTCACAAAATTGTGATCTCTTTTGTTTCTTCCCAACTGCTGCTATTCATCCAATTTTATTTGCATAGTTTCTTTGTAATAATTATTAACCCATTGATAATTTATGCCCAATACTGATCCTTTTTAAATTAATGACAGTATTCTAATTGACCTAGCACTGGTTATGCATATCAACAGCACTACTTAGGTAATTTAAGTTAAGCTCATGCACAACTCTTAGCAGGATTGGGGCCTTAATGCCTGAATCTACAAGGTTCTGACCACCATGCTGCTGTAATATATAATTCCTTTTTAAGTTACTTCTCCTATTGCATTGTTTCCTAAAAATAGAATAGTAGTCTACAATTAATAATACCTATAATTGGTTTAGAAAATGTTTTTATGAAATAGAAAGCAGGTCTGTAAATCAGTTTTTTAAATGTATCTGAGGGGTTTCAGTTTATGAAGCTTTTTTTTACTTCATGGGAAGCGTCTTGGAGCTGTTTAAGTGTTGACATTAGGAAAATGGTCCAAATCATGTAAAAATAAGATACAAATGTTTTACAACATGAAGTGAAATAACAGTAATAGATTAGCTGTGAAATAGTTAAGATTTTGCTTTAAACATATTATATAATCACCACTTAACCTAATATTCCTTATTACTGTAGGTATACAAGTTGGAGAAACAACACCTGATAAACTTTTCACACTGGTAGAAGTTGAATGTTTAGGCGCTTGCGTAAATGCACCGATGGTGCAAATAAATGATAATTATTATGTAAGTATTTCATTCTGTTTGAAAGATACGTTTTGTTTAACTGGTATGTTAATTATTACACTAAATGATTGTCATTGTTTTAGATTATGAAATTCTAGTAGTTCAATATAAGTTATTAATTGACCTACTAATCTGATAGTTTATATTGCTATGCTGTGGGTGGCTTGTCTCTCAAAATGATATTGGAACAGGACTTCCCTAGGCTTAATTATCAATGTAAAGAGAAGCTCTCATTTTTTGGGAGAGGGACAGTTCATGAGCTGGAACATCTTCTAGATATCCTCTACATGAAAATACACATCAATACACTGTGATGTAGGTAAAGTTCCTGAGACCAGTGGAATTTTTTTTAATGTTCACATATTTTCATAAAAGGATCATGAAGAAAGAGAATTAAAATATATATAGAAATACATTTTGGGGTATCCAGGCATTAGAACTAGGGCACTTTCATAGATACCTTTTAGTTGAAGGAGGATTTGGTTCTCTCTGGGATTATTATTTATTTAAAAAAAAACAACAACTATCAAATCCTTTTTCAGTTTTTGAAGGTCTTTCACTCTGAGTGATATTCTCCTCGGATAGTTTTTTTTTTTTTTATTTAATAATCAATTAAGGGAAACAAACATATTTTGGAGTGGTAGCAGCTTCAGCAAATTCAGTTTCCATTAGAGAGATTTTTTTCCCTTTTTTTTTTTTGTGTGTGAGCCCTCCCCTTTACCCCTTCCCTTCCTCCCTCTCATGTTGATAATGATGTTGAAAATATTATTATGAGTTCGGTGAACATGGTATACTTTTTCTAGCCATTTTTAAGTAAATCAGACAAGGGTTCGTAAGTTATGTGACATCAAAAATATCAAGACTCCAAGAAGTCTTGGGTTGGTTGTTTGTTACTAGAAAGCATAAAAATGGAAGAGGAGAGAGAGAAAACATAACATTGGATTAATCTAGTCCTAGTGAACAAGGTCAAAGTTTAGGTGTTTGAACTGTAATTTAAAGTTATGAATATTTTAAACAAGAATTTCAGAATAGCAATTTGGCTTTGGGCTTAAAACAGGGAATCAAGTGACTGCTGGAGATGTGAGTTTTCATTTATTTTAAAATGTCTCTAAGACTTTTTCTTGCATAGATGGGCCTCAGTGGAAATTGATCATTAGGGAGGCTTGTCAGTGGAGAACAGAAAAGTTTTCTACCAAAACTGAAGTTTAGAGGAACTAAGTAAGTAAACTTCCCCAAAAACAAACCCTTCCCTCCCCACGAAAATCTGTATGGGTCCATCATATTTAAAAAATTGATATGACACTTTAGACAGTCCTAGTTTGAAAACAATAACTGGAAGGAATTTATAATTAAGCTTATTGGATTCATGAAGTCAAGATTCAGTGCACATCAAATTTCTGCACTTTACAGTCAAATTTTAAGTTAAAGTTGAAATAAGAATCTCTGTTAGGTTACTTAGGGGCTTAGCTGGAAGCTAAGCAGTGTGTTGATGACTTTAGTTCAGATACTGTGCCCCAGTGTACCCACCAGCACACATTTCTACACAGATATGATGCCCAAGAGTAGGGTACTCCTGGGCATCATGTTGGTGATGCGCTTTCCAAACAGATATGCTGATGAGACTAAGGCCTGGTCTACACTAACCCCCCAATTCGAACTAAGGTACGCAACTTCAGCTACGTGAATAACGTAGCTGAAGTCGACGTATCTTAGTTCGAACTTACCACGGTCCAGACGCGGCAGCAGGCTCCCCCGTCGACTCCGCATACTCCTTGCGCTGAGCAGGGTTACCGGAGTCGACGGGGAGCACTTCTGGTTTCGATTTATTGCGTCCAGACAAGACGCGATAAATCGAACCCAGAAGTTCAATTGCCAGCCACTGAACCAGTGTGTAAGTATAGACAAGCCCTAAGGCATGATAGAGTGATGCATCTTCCCCAGATATATGAAAGATAGAAAAGCCTCCAAAGGCACTCAAGCACACCAAAATACTTTGGTATGTACTTTGGGGACCAAGTATTTGAGATACTGACGTGGCTCTAGGTGCTTGGACCCCTGATCTAAGAATGTCTGCAGGAGAGGAGCCGTGCAGCTGTAGATCAGTGTAACCCAGAATGCTTTTCATAGCTTGCTGTACAAAAAGACACTGGAAGAGTCCTAGGCCTGTCCAGTGTGCATTATATGTGATGAAGGGAGCTAATCACTCATTCCAAGTTCTTAAGTCTGTGGCCTAATCTAGTATGCTTTCTAAGACACTTAGGGCAGATTTCATAGAAAAGTACTAGAGCTAGACCATACCCTTGTGCACTTTACTATAGGATAGAGGGAGCTAAGCTCCAAACCTTAAATGGCATTCTCCTTGTCTACCTCAATTGAGTCACATTACAGCTATTTCCCACTATGTCTTAAAAAATTCCCAGACAAAAGTCTTCATTAAATTGGGGTTAAGGGTGAAAATACGTATCAGTGATTCAGTTGCTTAAAAAGTTTTGCAGGAATATTGGTGATATCAAACACCAAACATTTATAAAACTAGGCCATTCCAAGTTAAGGTTACAAAAAACATCCAAGCCTCTTTAACCCTGCCCTGTACTGATGGAAGCCTCGGATCTTCCCTTCTTTATTTTTGAATCAAGGCCTTTTTCATAGGGGCTTTGAGCAGTTTGTTGTCTGACTACAGAAATCTTAAAGAAATCCCTGTATTTATACAGTTTATGGTTTGAATATCAAAAATATGCAACATAGCATTGTTTTTAGTATCAGATGTTGTAATTATGAAGCCAGTTGTAAGTGTACACAGTAACTCCTCACTTAACGTTGTAGTTATGTTCCTGAAAAATGAAACTTTAAGCGAAATGATGTTAAGTGAATCCCATTTCTCCAAAAGAATTAATGTAAATGAGGGGGTTAGGTTCCAGGGAAATTTTTTTCACCAGACAAAAGACACTCTCTCACTCACCCCCCCCCACACACACACACCTCCAATAAGTTTTAAACAAACAGTTTTAAACAAACTGGTATGCAGCGATGATGATTGTGAAGCTTGGTTGAGGTGGAGGAATTAGGGTGGGCTGTTTCCCTTACTGCTAAATGATGAACTAGCAATTGGCTGAGCCCTCAAGGGTTAACTCTCTCACTCTACAAGGCAGCAGGAATGGAGGGAGATACGCGCATTTCTCCTTTAAGTACACTGCCTTGTTAATTAGATCAGCTTGCTGAGAGGGCAGTTGCTGCAAGCTCCCTCTGTGGCGTCCCCCCCCCCCATCTCTATGGAAGATAGGGTAAGCAGGGTGCAGGGGGACACCCTGACATTAGCCCCCCCCCGCTTCCCTCCCCTCCACCCCCCCACCCCCCGCACACACAGCAAGCAGGAGTCTCGGGGAACAGCTCCAAGGCAGAGGGCAGGAGTAGCACATGGCGGCGGCGGCGGGGTGGGGGGAGAGGGACAGCTGCAGTTGCTAGCCTGCTGGGCAGCTGCTGCACAGGGAACTTAGGGGAGGGTGGAGCTGATAGGGGGACTGCCGGTCCACCCTGGTTCGAAGCCCCCACCAGCTAGCTGCAAGGGGGCTGCTCTTCCTGCAAGCAGTAGACAAAGCAGGCAGCTGCCAAACGACGTTAGAAGGGAGCATTACACAACTTTAAACAAGCATGTTCCCTAATTGATCGGCAACGTAACAACATTAACCGGGATGACTTTAAGTGAGGAGTCACCACACTAACATTGTGCGCTCTCCAAACAAGTAAATTGAGTAATTCCTGCCTGTATATGAGAGGCAGTGATGTGTGTCTCCCCCATCCCCTTGTTTTTGTTTGGCAGGAAGGGAGGGAGAAGAGGGCAGCAGAAAGGAATATTAAGTCATGGGTTTGTGTCACAGGCTATGCTTATTAGAGGAAGCTCTTGGTACAAACCACACAAATGGTTGCCTATGCTATAATCAGGTTGCCCCCCCGCCTTCTTCCTTGAGTCTGGTCTCTGAAATGGCTGGACATTTCTCTTGGAGAAGTCTGCTTCCATGAACTCTTCTGTGAGTTTGACTGCTGCCTCCAGATTCAAATGCATGTGTTTTCAAAGCAGCTCTGGAGAAATTTTTCTAATATTATGGCTGTTGCTATTTTCCTCCACACCTTGAATATCTGGCCTTAGCCAGCAGGGAGCCCAGTCAGTTAACTTGCAGAAAGGCTAAGTGCCATACTCCATAAGACCACCTAGTGGCACAAAATCTGTATTTTTCTGCCAAAAGGCCTACCCTGTCCAGGATGACAGCCTTTACCACAGCATAGTTGTGGGTCTGCTCCTTGCACAGGGCCATATAGGCTGCCTAGGCTTCCCCTGATAAATAGGCTGCCACTCAGAAGACCTATGATCCCTTATCCCATCTGGCTCCTGTTGCTTCCCTCTCAAAAGTCACTAAAAATGTGTCCGGGTCATCCACTGGGCCCATTTTGCACAGGGTAACCCCCAGAAACTACTGCTGTTCAGTCACAGGATTCACCAGGTTCTGTATTGCAGGCTGTTCAGCTGCTCAGCCTGCTATGCAGGGAGAAACTGCTTTTCCATTTGATGGGATTGCTGGAACGAGTGCATGGTCTCTTGTTTCTCCTTTAGTTGCTCTACCAACCATTGCAGACTCTTCTCCATTGCCCTGATGCTGAATCCTCGCACTGGCTCCCTGCCTGGTCCTCTGCCACCATGGATGGGGGAATCACAAACCTGGATAAGCGCCCACATGTAACAGGGCATACTCTGCTCCTGCCTTCTAATACCACAGAAACTATTCCAACTTCACTGGTTGTGTATTCACACCATGCCGTTTATGTTCCCTTCACCAACACCTCTATAGCCCCTTGCAGCAGTGCTATTTACAGTGCGGTTTCCTGTGCTCTCAGCCCTTTCCCCAGGGCTTGAGAGATTTCTGAGACACTGGACTCAGCTAGCTCTCACTCAGCTCTCCCCTTCACTTCCTTCCTGTGTCCTTTTTATCAGTCTTGAGCTGATGGGCTAATTGGCTCTTTAGCTCACCCAGCCCCTCCACTGACCTGATCAGGTAATTAACTTTAATTACCCCCATACCATTAAGCCTTCTCTGGGACAACTAATTGGTGTCAGAGTGATCAGAGTGCTGGCTCGCATGGTAGCTCCTAGTACTCAAACACAGCCCCTTTTAAAACGTGGCCATTATGAGCTAGTTCAGAAACATAAATGGCTTAAAATCAGTTCATTTTAACTAACAATTGCTTGTGTAACACAGCTAACAGTGACATTTGAAGTTTTATGACATTCTAATCTTTTAGGTTTGTTAATTCTTCTTTAAACTTGGATGCATATATTAACTGATAGGATCGTAGTTACCTGTGCTGAAATCAAAACTGAGTGAAGAATTTGGTTAAAAGCTAAAAACTGTTATTTTGCGGAATTGTGGATACTACTTTTGATTCAATTGCTTATAGATTTTGTTTAAATTTTCTTTTAATAGCATGGTCTTTCATTTTACAGGAAGATCTGACATCAAAAGATATTGAAGACATAATTGATGAACTAAAGGCTGGCAGAGTTCCCAAACCTGGGCCAAGGTAAATTGTATTTGTATAATACTGGGGTGAGTAATGAGAGAGAAAATCCATTTGGAAGGGAAGCTATTTTTAATGTTGGCGACTAGTTCTTGGAAAAGTTACTGGATTGATTACTCTAGAACTAAGGCATTAATTCACTGAACTGCACAGGCATTACAGGCTTTTCCACATTGACCTGCTTTATGCGTAAACCTGAACCTGGAGAGGCTGTGTGTGGAGGTGAGAGGAAAGCTTCATGTCCAGAACTCTTCGGTCCCTGGCCTGTTTGAGACTACCAATGAAAGTGCCAATTGAGGAGATGGTGGGTCTGAAGTGGCTACATGCCTGATAGGAACTGGAATGTGATCACAAACTTTTTTTTGCATAAATCACCCAAAACACTACTAGCTAGTAGACTTTTGATCCCTACAAACCTATGCTGGATTTGACGCTTGTGAAAGACTGACTTCTTTTTTTCTTTTCCTTTTTAATTCCCACTGTTCCTGCACAATTTCATACGCATAGGAAGATATATGAATGGGGGAGCTAATTGATGCTGAACAATATCATGATGTATAATCACTTGAACATGCGTTCCCGTGCAGTGTTGTGGCCAAAAGGCTAATACAATCCTTGTTGGATGCATAAACGGGAATCTCAAATTAGTAGGTTATTTTACCTCTGTGTTTGGTGTGACCACTCCTGGAATATTGTGTCGAGTTCTGGTGTCCACAGTTCAAGAAGGATGCAGATAAATTGGAGAGGGTTCAGAGAAGAGCCATGAGAATGATTAAAGGGTTAGAAAACATCTCTTATAGTGATGGACTCAAAACAATCTATTTAGCTTATCAAAGTATGTTAAGAAGTAACTCTATTATAATCTGTAAATACCTATATGGGGAACAAATATTTGATAATGGGCTCTTCTGTCTAGTAGAGAAAGGTATAACATCCAGTGGTTGGAAGTTGAATCTAGACAAATTCAGACTGGAAATACATTTTTAACAGTGAGGGTAATTAACAATGGGAGCAATTTACCAACAGTTATGGTGGATTCTTCAACATAGGCAGTTTTTACATCAAGATTGTATGTTTTTCTAAAAAATATGCTTTAAGAATTTGGGGAAGTTCTATGGCCCGTGCTATACAAAGAGATTAGACAAAATGATGATAATGGTCAATTCTGGCCTTGGAATATATGAATCTAAGATGGATCTGAAACAAATAATCAGATGTTGCCGTTGCTGGAGTAAAAAAGCCATTGGCTCCTGGGTTTTTTGTTAAGCATATAGATTTAATTTTTGTATCTATGAAGTATTTTGGTTAACAAGTTCCATATTTGACATTCTACTTGAATGCCTTCGTTTTACCACTAGTATTTTTACAGATATTCTGTTGTTCCTCCTCCCATTTCTCTCTGCTCATCCTTCAGAGAAACAGGAAAAATGGCAGCCCAAAGATTGAGTTAGACTTGTGTCATTCATGGGTAGAAGATGATTGCTGTAATACTGAGTATTGATGAACAAATCTGATTGCTCTTTATCTTTTCAGAAGTGGACGCTTTTCTTGTGAGCCAGCTGGTGGTCTTACTTCTCTGACTGAACCACCCAAAGGACCTGGATTTGGAGTTCGAGCAGACCTCTAAGCATTTATATAATAAATTATAAAAACATATTTTGTCTGAAAATAAAATACCGTTAACCTCATTAAAATGGCTTTAATTATGTTTTTTTTAAAAATTGAGAATAGTAGCACCATTTAAGCATATAAAGATCATTAATGATCTGGAGGATGGCGTGGACTGCACTCTAAGCAAGTTTGCAGATGACACTAAACTGGGAGGAGTGGTAGATACGCTGGAGGGTAGGGATAGGATACAGAGGGACCTAGGATACAGAGGGACCTAGACAAATAAGAGGGATTGGGCCAAAAGAAATCTGATGAGGTTCAACAAGGACAAGTGCAGAGTCCTGCACTTAGGACAGAAGAATCCCATTCACTGTTACAGACTAGGGACTGAGTGGCTAGGCAGCAGTTCTGCAGAAAAGGACCTAGGGGTTACAGTGGATGAGAAGCTGGATATGAGTCAACAGTGTGACCTTGTTGCCAAGAAGGCTAACGGCATTTTGAGCTGTATAAGTAGGGGCATTGCCAGCAGATCGAGGGACGTGATCATTCCCCTCTAGTCGACATTGGTAAGGCCTCACGTGGAGTACTGTGTCCAGTTTTGGGCCCCACACTACAAGAAGGATGTGGAAAAATTGGAAGAGTCCAGCGGAGGGCAACAAAAATGATTAGGTGGCTGGAGCACATTACTTATGAGGAGAGGCTGAGGGAACTGGGATTGTTTAGTCTGCAGAAGAGAAGAATGAGGGGGGATTTGATAGCTGCTTTCAACTACCTGAAAGGGGATTCCAAAGAGGATGGATCTAGACTGTTCTCCGTGGTACCAGATGACAGAACAAGGAGTAATGGTCTCAAGTTGCAGTGGGGAAGGTTTAGGTTGGATATTTGGAAAAACTTTTTTACTAGGAGGGTGGTGAAGCACTGGAATGGGTTACCTAGGGAGGTGGTGGAATCTCCTTCCTTAGAGGTTTTTAAGGTCAGGCTTGACAAAGCCCTGGCTGGGATGATTTAGTTGGGATTAGGTCTTGCTTTGAGCAGGGGGTTGGACTAGATGACCTCCTGAGGTCCCTTCCAACCCTGATATTCTGTGCCACAGCAAGAAAAATAATTAGTGCAAAGTGCAAAAAAACAAAAAAATCTGTAGATTGCCAAACTTCCCCCATTTGTAAAGGTGTATGTGAAACGTTGCCTTGCCCTCACCAAAATCTTTGGGTGAAAACCTTGCTTTCAGTTTTATGAGCACAAAAAGGACAAAATAGTAAACTATCTTATCTGCTGAAGACGCTGTCCTGCTATTGAGGGCGTTCAGCACATAGAAGTATGTATGTCTAGATGTAATTACTTTTAAGGCATTATGACCAATATGATTACATTTGGGGAGCAGGGTTTAGGGGAAGAATGAAAAGTACATTATAATTGGCTGATACCCCTGACATGGTATCACCACTCAACAATAAACTTAATATTGTAGGGAAGAATAAAAGGGGAAAAATAAGGAAATAAGTAGCAGATTTACCTCTAACAATCCTGTCACAATCAATTAAGTTTGAGCAGGAAAGATGTGGAAGAAGATCCTTTTGGTACAATCGATCCCACTCCCCAACAATAAGACTTCAATGAATGCTGGGAGGCGATATGATTGCTCTCTATAAATACATTGGGGTGTAAATGGCAGGGAGGGAGAAGAGCTATGTAAGCTAAAGGACAGTGCTGGCACAAGTGAGTATAAATTGGCTATGGATAAATTTAGGCTGGAAATTAGGTGTCTAACTATCAAAGGACTGAGCTTCTGAAACAGTCTTCTGGTGGAGAGAGGGAACAAACCTAACTAGTTTTAAAATAGAGCTTGATAAATTTATGGATCAGTTGATATGGTGGGGTTTCCTGTAATAGCAGTGGCCTGGATTGTATATCAAGAGGAGGTCCTTTTTAGTCTTATACTTCTATATGGTAACAAGAAAGACAACAAAAACTTGACTGACTAGGTCTTTAACAGGAGCATTCAGGGATTTCTCTATTCTCAGCGGAGAAAGCAAACAAAAACCCTGAGAGATGAGGGCACTGATGGACTATACCACTGGTTGCAAGGTTGGAATCTTCCATCTGCTGAATAGGGGGAGAGAGGAGTACATCCCTTCAGAACCCTTCCGCTTTGGGAGTTCAGGACCATCTTAACTGAGTTAAGAATCCTTTGACAATATTTATAAAGAAAAACATCTCCATGCAATGAAATATCCAGTGTGCACTCTTTTAAACACTTATCTGTAAAATTTCCAATGGAATATTGCAGAATTGCATAAGAACCATGAAGTGAAACTGATTAGTAACAAAAGAGAAACAGGCATCCAGTTTCATTGGTTGGGTCAAGAGCAATTCAAAACCTAAGCAAACAGTCATTTAGAGTAATCTGTTGGGGGTGGTAGCATAACTAAACTATAAGCAATCCATTTAATAAAACATGTAGGGATTTGAAGCTACTTGGCTTTGTGTTCACATAATCCCCAAGAGGTAGTGAAAGTATAGGGGAACTTTGCCCACATAAAAAAAATCTTTAACTCTTGGTATATCTTTAACTCTTATATTATTGTAGAAGATGAAGAACCATTACAGTTTTTAATGTTTATTTGACTTAATGCACTTCACTGAGCTTGGATAGTGAAACTAAATTGTCAGATTCATTTTCTCTTTATAGTTAAATTCACTGTCCAATTCTGCACTACCGGTACCATCATACAGTTTTCATTTATTTTCAAATGTATCAGTCCATTTCTGTTTTAATTTTGTAATTCTTCAGGCCAAACACAAATAATTTAAAAATTTTATCTTCACATTAATTGATCTTATAAAATTAGACCAATTTATTAATTAAACAAGCTGTTCTTAAACTGTGGTCCAGGAACTAGTGCTCTGGAGAGCAAAGACCTGGCAGGTAATCTGGAGTTGGCTCTTTTCAGGTGCTTCCATCTCTGTCCAGAATCCACACATTCTTGTTACTCTCATCTTCCTTCCTGTTGTGTCAGACACACATTTGTGTCACCTGAAATTACACTGTTGTGAAAAGCTTACAGGGATAACGTCTTGGGCTTGTAAAGTACTTCTCCCAATACAGCACTTATCCTGATTGGGGCCTTTGGGTGCTCCTAGTAGATAGATACAGTAGATAAATAATAAGAGCAGCCTGGATGCCAAGAAAAGCAGCTGGAACTGAGGAAGAGCTAGCCTAGCTCCTTTAGCGAGGATTGTTGATACATAAGAGGAAAAGAGTGGGAGTGAGTATCTCGGGAAGAAAGGAGAGCCTATGTGCCAGTATGGCAGGAGAGTAGGTGGAGGAAAGGATCAGCTGGCTGGGAAGCATGTCCCACAAAATAGTGGCCGGGAACTAGATGCAAAGAAAGGAAGAGGACAAGTTTCAGAAAGGGGTGATAACATACAAAAGTAAAAATATATTTTTTTTCCACAAAAGCCAAAACATCCCATTAAAACATAGCTAAAATTACATACATTTTGTTTCCTTTAACAAATTGTTATAGTTAGCACTGTGATGTTATGCTGTTGCATTTGGCCAGATAAGTGTTCAGCATGATCATTAAGGGAAGGGGAGATTAATTATGAAGCAGTCTCACAATAAAAATGTGATCTGCACAAAGGAAAAAGATTGAGAACTCCAGAATTGCTTTAACCCATGCACATAAACAACTATTTCAAATGGAGACAAATTAAGACAACTTTTGAAATATTTCCTGAAGTCAATCTTTTATAGTCCTCAGCTTTCTAAAAAATGCAAAAAGCTGAGCCAAAAATTGCTAAATATCATAGTACATAGTTTATTTTACCAGATTTCCCTACATTTATATTCCTAATTAATGTTGAAAAGTTTCTACTTTTGTTAGCTTACAAAAAAGCAAGTGTCCTCATTCCCTACAGCTGTCTCAAATATAGTATACTTCTATTGATCTAAACTAAAATATAGGTTTTATTGAACTATATATGAAATTTAATAATACAGTAGAACCACAGAGCTACAAACACCTCAGGAATGGAGATTGCTTGTAACTCTGAAGTGTTCGTAACTGAACAAAACGTGGTAGTTCTTTCAAAAGTTTACAACTGAACATTGACTTAATACAGCTTTGAAACTTTACTATGCAGAAGAAAAATGCCCCAATCATGATAAGTGCCACATTGGGAAAAGTACTTTACAAGCTGCTTTCCCTTTATTTTTTTAGTAATTTACATTTAACACAATAGTGTACTGTATTTGCTTTTTTATTTTATTTATTGTCTTTGCTGCTGCCTGATTGTGTACTTCCAGTTCCAAATGAGGTGTGTGGTTGACTGGTCAGCTGGTAACTGGTGTTCGTAACTGAGGTTCTACAGTACCATCAGATGTGCCCATATTTAATTATTACATTGTTTTCAGTATGCTGCAGAGTATTATCTTTAGGTTTCAGAATTTACAATCCATTAAGATAAAGTAGGCAGTTTACACCTCTCAAAGGTATTGTTTCATGCTTTTTGTAAATTCTAGTGCATTCACATACACTTGGTTCACATTTCAAACATTTCTTTTCAACCATAACAGAAACTAGGTACATGTATTTTAACAAAAGGCTAGATCCTGGAGCACACTTCAGTGGTAAAGGGTGAATTCCATAACCATTAAATACAGGGGCTCTGGCTACTACTAATGCTGACACAAGTCTTAATTGATCATTGCAGAAAGTTCCTGCTTGTGTACATATGGCAAAGTGCATGATGCTAGACTTTCAAAAAAAACCAAGCCCAAGAATGACTAGAGAGGATCTCCAGGCCTATCAAACACTGACATTAAAGGGATCTTCATCCCCACTAATTCTGGGTAAAACTATGCATGCTCACTTTTACAATGGTTAATGAAACCACAGACTACATAAATACAGAGAGATGCTACTTTGACTGTAAGTAATCAACTGGTACAAGTCAATGGTGGAGCGTGCTTTTGCGCAACTGAAAGCAAAACTGAAATGGCTGTTAACCTGCAGTAACAGTTTAGTGACTAATGTAGCCATTATAATATCTGCCTGAATACAGTAGACACTCCTTGGTAGCAACATATAGGTGCTCTTTTGCTATGTTGCGCCTAAGCACCTGTTGCTGTTATAGTGTTGGCTGACCAAAAGCATATGAAGAGTTAAGTGTGTTTTGGAAAGTGGGGGGTCAGCCAGGTTGTGGTGGGAAGAAATTGTAGGGTAGGGGAGAATGGGGCAGGGGAGCCCCCATTCAGCAAAATGAGTGCCAGGAACAGGCTGATGATGCTCCAGGTGGCAGCTTCATGCTCCACACTGGCAAGGGAGGGATGGCTGGGGAGGGTACCATGCACAGCCTGCATGGAGGGGGGGAAATGCAGTGAAGATGGGAGAGGGGAAGGGGACAGGTAAATGCCCTGAGGAGTGCAGTCCCCTGATCCCCATTGCAAAATAAAATTTTGGAAATGGGGGAAAAATAAGAAATAAAATTAACGGGAATCTCCACTAGATTTCTAGTAATGTATTTAATGTCCGGCAATGGTCATGATAAGCAGTGTTTTCCCCCAACTTTCATAGTTTGTGTTATCTGTACATCACTTTGCCAGCAAAATATGCCTAGAGCGGTTTCCATGCACTGAATTACAAGGCAAAGCTAAATGCCACTTCATCTAAATATGAGCAGAATGCTAGTTAAGTTCCCTGCCTGGCATATATGCCATTATAGCTACATTGTAATATATAAAATGCACTATGCTTTTGCTGTAGTGCCCAACATGTGATTTGCAATAAAGTTCTTATTTTTTGCCTTTTTTTATATTGCAGTTTGTAATTTTCCCCCACTGCTATTTTGAGTTCACCCATCTGATAGAGCTGAAGCTGATGCTGCACATGCCAAGCTGAACATTTTTATCTTAACCAGGAGCAGTGGTTCATGTACCTGCCAGCACAGGATGCTTCAAGGGGAATGTCAACTCAGGGGATGTATTAGGGAACTGAACTGGGTTGACCTATGGAGGAACTTGGTAGCTGCACTTGTGCAGCAAAGAGATGGAGACAGAAAGACTGAGAAAGAGAAGGTTGCTGGTGGAACTGAAGTGGTAGCATTACACAACAGTGAAAGTGTCTATCTCTTTCCTTTTATTAATCCTACTGGTGGCTTTTCTAAGAACCCGGGAAACTCTTTTTCCAACAATCAAGATTGCAAAATCAGCCAATTTATTTAGATGACCCCTCACCTTCCAATTCCTCCTTCTGTATTGGCTCAACTGCTGTCTGTAGATCCCCACAAGTATATCCTGCAAATGTATACAAGATTTCTTTGTTTGTCTCCTTGTCCTGATTGACTGCACTGTATGGACTTTGTGCTACCCAGAAGCACCTTTAATTATGTGGAAGGGTGAGCCTTCAGGCTTTGATCCAGATCACTGTGCAAGAGGCACGTTTTCTGCCCTGAAAAGGACCGACTGTTATTCTTCCATGTCTTGTTATACAGGCCTTCCAGGCTCTTTGTCTTCTCTTGGCACTACTTCTCCCCTCTAAGTGTACATCACACAGATGTAACCCCCACTATCTCTGCTTGAGCTAGCACCTAAAAATAGTGTGTCAGCAGCAACACAGGCAGTGGCTCGGCCTAGCTGCCCCAAATACAATCCCACCTGAGTCCCTGGGTGGCTAGCCTCAACTGCCACAGACACATATTTTGAGGCACTCGCTCAAGCAGTTAGCATGGCTACATCTACACAAGCTGGGAATCACACCTGCCAGCTCAAATGTAGATGTACCCCCTCTGATGACCAGTTCAGCCAGTCATACATTAAAATACTGTGAATGAACAAGTGCAACTGCCCTTGCATATGGTCTCCAGTGCCCATGTCCGCCTCAGGCCAGCTGGCAGCACCCGTGTTTGGTATCTTCCAAGACATGCTAGTGACAGAATCAAGTAGCGCACAATTGAGCTCCAAGTTGGGCACAGTGCTATTTGAATAGGAAAGTGGCTTCCAGAAAACTTGATCCCTATGTAGCAGAGTTCAGAATGCATATCAGACAGGCTGCCTAAGCAGTGACCAATACCCTGGGGAATGGTAGCATTTTTTTGCTTTTAAGGGGCTGCAGCAATCTCTGTCCATGCATACATTGCAAAGGTAGAGATTGGTATAGCGGAAGACCACACAATGGTTCACATTGCTCAAAAAAAGTTAGTTCAAAAAAGTGCTTGGAACTCCTGTGCACCACTTCAAACACTTGTGGGTGGGGGGGACATGAGGTGGGTTACAGGTATGCCATGCTAGGAAGAACCAGAAGTCAAATTTCTCTAGTATACATAAGACCACAGCAACTGAGTGACAGTGGAAACATAATTCAGGAGACCAGGCTTATGCTAGCAGTGCCCAGTTGTGACCGTCTTCTGTTCTGACAACTTTCTCGATGACTTATTTGATTCTTAGCACAAATAAGGACTCATTTGCCTACAATGTGGCAATGAGATGACTCCTCTGCACGAGTTTATGTTGTAAATATGACTAATTTTTCTCTTAGATCTTGTTCTATCTTATTTTTAAGATGACTATCACTGGGGTAACTTAGCACCTAATGATTTTAGAGATGAACTGCAATGGGGAAAATATAGTGTGAGCTCTTTGTTGCTTATATTGTACAGAAGAGATCTATGGAGTATTTTTATTCTTTTTGCCTTTTTTTTTTTACACTTGAAATTCATATCTGCTTCTTTTGCAAGACTATGCAGCTGACTACAGAATTAGTAGGATTACCACACTGACCAAAGAAATGAATGCTGATTGACAGAGAAATTTTTATTCAAGGCATTTAAGTTTTTGTTTTATTTCCATTTGAAAATTTCATCTTGTAGAGAATTAATATTTGTGATTTGTACAGAAGCTATTAATAGAGAAACTCTTATTTCTGGCACACTTAGCAACTGACTTAAGAATTTTCTAGAAGGAGCTTAGGCATGCCAGTTGAAAGGAAACTCAAGAGAATAGACTTGTGCCCAATTTTCCCTGACTCAAAATGCCAAACTTCAGCGGTCTGATCTACACAATAAAATGTTTCTAAAAGTTGCTCACCAGCTCATTGATGATATCAATGTCAGTATTAGCAAGCATAGGATTTTTTTTTAATTTCCTTGTGTAGATAGATCTTAGGAGCTAGGAGTATATTAATAAAATACAAAATAGCTTTGAACAAACATCTAACCAAATATCTATGGAAGATGTTTTGTTAAAGTTTCAACAACCATTCCCCTTTTATTAAAGAATAAGAGAACAATCCATGTTTGAGTCTTGAAAGACAACCTCCAGAAAAAACAAAAAAGATAAGACTTGACACTGCTAAGGTTTAAGGTTAAAAAATAAAAAGGGGAAAAAGCTTAAAAAAATCCAAACTTATAGGCCAACTTTATATCATTAAAAAGCAGGTTAAGTCAATAAAATTTTCCTAGTTTATTGCTGCTATAAGGGGACAAAGTAGAAATCTTGATAGGTACAATGCCCTTCCTGTCATATACTGCTAGATACAGATAGGAGACATGATACAGGGGATGGTGGTGCTATAATTATATACAATATTCATGGGGGAATTCTGCAGACTGCACCACTGCACATGTGCAGACTGTACGTCCCCTGCAGATTTCTTTGCTTCCCTGCAGAAAAATGACTTTCTGGCAGGGAAGCCATAAGAGAGGTCATGAGACCCTCCCCAACAGTATTTTTTGGGTGCTCAAGGCAGCCTGCCAGGAGGTAAGTCACTGTGGATCAGAGGACAGGACAGGTGAAGACCCAGCAGATGGCTCCTACCCTGCAGTGGGCTCAGCTGCTAGTCCCAGATGAGCTGGGGTGGGGGGGGGGACACGACTTCCTCTTCCCCTATACCACATCTGGGACTGGGTTAGACCTACACCCAGATTTCTCCCACAGCTGCAGGAAGCTCAGCAAACTCCCCCTGCCACTTCCTGCACCCATCCCTCCTCAGCTGCAAGGGGAGTGATCCCTGTACAAGGCCCTGCTCCCCCATCCACCCAATCCCCATACATCCAGACCCCCTCACAGCCCCTCCTGCTGAGCCTCACCCTCCCTGCCCTGAGAACCCCCCATCCCCCCCCCCGAGCTCCAACCAACTGCACCTGGATCCCCACTCCCCTAGCAGCTAGATCCCCCACTGAGCCCCCCCACCCTTACTCCCCCCCCCCCCGAGCCCCTATCCTCCCACACACCCAGACCCGTCCGCTGAATCCCAACCACCTTCACCTGGACCCCCTTGCAGAGTCCCATTACTGTTGCACCCAGATCCCTCCCCCAGCTGCCTGCACCAACTGCCCCCCACACAACCCTCTCAACTTACACCTGGATTCCCCCCACCCCAAACCCATCCACACTTGGATCCTGCCTTGCTGAGCCTTCCTGCCCACACCTGATGCACCTGGCACAGGGCCCTAGGGTGTTTCTGGGGTAGGCCTGATCCTTGTACTGTGTCATGGTTGAGTACAGCCTCACCACTGAGTCCCTGTGCGGGGGGCAGCACAGCGATCTCCCACCTCTGTGCAGCCATTGACCTGTGCGCCCCCTGCCATGCTGAAGACTCCACATTTGACAAATAAAATTTGCAGAATTTTAAAATATTGTGCACAGAATTTTTATTTTTTTGGTGCAGAATGCCCTCAGCAGTAATACAGGGCAGGAAACAGTACAGTATCAAATTTCAGGTTGTCTCACCTGTATGGATGCTCAAACATTGGCATATGAAAATGGATGATTTCCTTTAAAAATACTGGGGGGGGAAGCATGCTGTTTTTAAAAACACTACAAACATACTAATCCTGTAAATGGCGATTAGAATTAAGTCCAACTCGTGTCGCCTGACTTCAGTAAACGGTTATGATTATCTCAAGCCAGGATGCCGATTTTTACTGGAAAAAGCGTTGGCAGACTGAGCCCGGAACAGATTAACGAAGATGCATGTCATGTCCTCAATAAAAAGGTAAAACTGAACGACACCAATGGGTGAAATGATTCAGTGTTAAAAGTTTGACTACAAACTGCAATGACATTGTAGGGGACGCGGCTCCCCCGAGCTCTGCAGAGGGGAGCCTTGAGCCGGCGAAGACAAGTGAGCGGCCCTCGCCGTGGGGGTAAAGTTTAGCGCGAGTCTCCGCCGGATCGGGGCCCGTCTCGGTACTGAAAGGCAGCTCCCGATGGGGTGGGGAGCAGACACTGTCCGGTGCAAAGCGCGGCAGGGCCGAGACGACACGCTGCCCCTAGCGCTGCGTGAGCTCAGCCACGGGACCAGAGCTCGCCCTGGCCGCTGCAGCTTCCCCGCCACGCGCACCCACGCCCGAGCGGCGGCCCCTACGGCGCAACATGCCACGCGACGCCCGCAGCGGAGCGGCCACGGCTCGGCCCGCGAGGCAAGCGGGGGACGCGGGGAGGAGGACACGCGCCCTCCCCTGGGCCCGTCCCCCGTCACATTCGGGCGCAGCGCAAGCCAGTCACCGCTTACCGGAGCCAGCCGCGCATGCGCACTCTGCGGTTAGTTAAAACTCACTGCGCCATCGCTGCCGGAAAACCCGGAGTAGCCCAAGTAAGGGGCCTTGGGCCTGGGAGTCGGGAAGAAGCGTTGGCGGCTCCTACATGGTTCCTGTCACAAGGGGAAGCAGACGCTCTAGTCTCTTCCCCCCTCCTCCCATCCCATCTCATCTCAATCTCCGGGACACCACAGCCGCCATTTCCAGAATGTTCCAGTCGCAGGAGCCAAGACCAAGAGCAGTCGCCCCGGCGCCTGCGCCCTGCCCCGCGCCTGCCTGCCCCGCCCTCGGGCCTGCTAGGGCCCGTTATTTTCCTTCCGTGTGTGTGTGCGCTGCGCGCGTGTGCACGAGAGATCTGAGGCACCGGGGGAATCCACTGCGGAAGGAGGACTGTGACGTTGACTCTCCCTCCTTCCCCAACCGCCGCCCAACTCCCGTAACGTTCGCGGCGGCGCGTTCTCGTCTGTCTCTCGTGCGTGTTTGGGGTCACGTGGGGTGGCGCGGCCAATGGGAGCCCCGCAGAGCTGCACACGGAGACCGACATTCTGACGGGGGGGAGGGGAGCGACAGTGCCGGGGAGGGGGGGCACTTTCAAACCCTACACCCACAGCGGCGGCGGTGGTGGTCGTCGGTGCGGGGCTGAGTCTCTAGGAACAGCCCGCAGCGGCTGAATCTGGTTCTTCGTCGGGTCCTGTCATAGGGGCAGCGCGGGAGGGAGGAGGAACGAGTCCTGCCGCTTCCTCCTCCGACAAGGTAAGAGACACCCCCGAGCCTGTCCCACCCCCCACCCCCGATGGGAGCCGCAGTTCCCACGTCCTTGTGCTGGGGGTGGCACCACCCCCCGGACCGGGCTGCGCCCTGGGGTAACCCCTTTCCCCAGCCGTGTGTGTGTGTGTGTGTGTGTCGTCCCCGTGGCGGGGGGTGTGACCCTTCCCGTCCCCCGGCTGTGTCTGCGCGCGGGGGGAAGGGTAGCCCCAGGGTGGCTGCCCTACTCCGCAGCCCGTCCCGCTGTGCGCGGCCCCCTCTCCCCGGCCTGCGGGCGATGCCGGTCGGGGGAAGGGCTCTGTCAGCCGCTCTCGCAGCCTGTCACTGCTGCTGCGGGAGCCATGGCTGCCGCTGTCACTGCCGCTGCGTGTCCCTTGCACGGTTCGTCCCCCGCGCGGCTGCTTTTTGGGGGACACGCCGGGGCGGGGGTAACTGCTGCACACGGGGCTGTGCAAGCTAGTCTGGGCTTCGCCTCTGCAGCGGCGCGAGCCCTGCCGGGGCGCGGGGTGTGCGTGTGCAGGCGGGGCGCGGGGCTCGCGCTGTGGACACCGGGCCGGCGGAGGAGGGGGCGCGCTGCTGCAGCCTGTGACTCAGGGCTAGGATTTTTGGCAACATCTAAAAAGCTAGGAGCTGCTCGCTGTATTTCTACCAGGCTGCCTGTCAGCGTTTTGCCGAAGCCTGCTGCTGGTTTACTGTGTGGCCTAAATGCATTTGAAATACATCTAGGATTTTTAAGTACTTTCCTCAGGCTGAGGGATCCCATATTGTTTTAAAAGCTAGTTGTATCAATTCCATTGTGTATCACTAAAATACAGCCACCTCTGAGGTGGAGCACAGCAGCTGATTGACAGCATCAACACGAAGTAGCTATTTAGGACAAGAAAGCAAAGAATACTGTTTCCAGTTGAACCTGAAGGATGGATTAGGTAAGCAGTCTAATTACCTCAATTCAGATTTGGCCAAATTACCAGCAAATTAATATCCATCCCCTCTGTTTCAGTTTTTAAAACTGGCTGGGCATCTTATGACAAGTGGAAGAATAGCAACAAATGCACAATTCCCAATTGAAAATTATCATGAACTGCCCTGTAAGACTTTTTAAAAAATTGTTAAGTCTGAACATGTCTCTGTCTTCTCAGACAAGAGCCTTTTCTTCCTGGAAATTAATTAGGCTTTAGAATGGTGTATTCCACATTTGTCTGGTAGCTCATGGGAATATAGTAGATGACATATGGAAGAGAATCCATTTGTGGCATTCATAACTTTAGGCTTTTGTTTGTATCTATTTGCAAGACCACAGTGAAAGCCAAGAATGTCCCAACTTCATTCTCTTCCATGTGTCAGCTGCTTGTTATCCCATGAACTACCAGACAGATGTGGAATATGTCTTAAAGTTTTGCTAATTTTCAGAAAAAGTGACCAGAGAAGGATTGAATCACAGTGCCTACATGAAGTCAGGACTTCACTAAAATGTAGGGCCCTTGATGGGTCGTCATGATGTGTGGAGAGGGGCTCCTCTTTATAAAGGAGGCGCCTCCTTTAACCCTTTATTTTACCCCTGATTGAGATGGGGTAACAGTAAGGGGATCACCCCCTAACAAACAATCAATGTGTATCAGCCATGAACATGCAAACTCAACCCTTTGTGCTTTTTTCTACCTTAGTCTTCTGTTGGGAGTTGTTGTAGATAGAGCATAGTCCATCAGGGAAGTGGATCTTAAAGTTAACACCACATTGAGATGCACTGGGAAAGTATACACCTCTCAGAGCTATTGTTTTAGGCCCTGTGCAGACTTAGGTGGATGGTGGGTTACACTTACATTTCTTCATAAAGATGAGGGTTAACAACTTACCATTTTTCCCCCAAATGAAAGCTCAGATTCTAATGTAATCATATGACTCTAGGAGCTGGACCCCTGAGCATGTGCCTGTGTCTTAATCCTGTCCTTCACAAATGCAGTGGAACTCTGCAGGTTCAAAGTTCTGTCTGTGCAGATCCAACTGCAAGATCTGGGTCATAGTAAAATATTGTTTTGGGAGGGTAATGGTAAACCCATAGCAGCCTTTGACAACTCTGCTTACCTACTTGTATTTTGTGACTTAAAAATCAAGGAGAGCAAGTGCTGGAATAGAATGGTGCTTACGAGCACCACAGGGACTGTGTCTTCAGATTCCTGTGACTATGTATGAAGCAGTTCCTTTCTCTGACTTCCTGGTTCTCCCTTGGCAGTCCCCACCATTAGCTCCAGTGCATGTATAGGATTGTGCTCTTTTACCATGAGATCCATTGTAGTTGAGGTATGCAAAGGATTCTCCCCTTCTGTTGGCACCAGCTCTACTCCTAGCACAGGAAAAGAGTTTGGACTTAACCACCACCCCTTTGTGTTTCCAATGTGGTTTTTTTCTTTCCCCTACCCAAGAAAAAAACATGCAAGCATTCTGAATGCTAGTGTTAACTAGTATAAAACTTCTGATGGATGATGTGTTGATAGTGCACAACAAATTAAGCCTCTTCCTGGCTTGCAAAATATATCACTTGTTAGAGGAAAAGGTCTGTTAGGATGATTGAATACTTGGATGAGTACTCTTTCTAAAACACCTAATTATTCAGATGGTGGTAGGAGCACCAAAAATATATAAGTAAAAGCAGATTTTTACCAAGTGTGGATTATCAAGTACAATCTCAAGCAATTGTTCTGAGTTTCATACATTTCCTGATCTGTTTAAGCTTCAGCTGAACAAAAAAACTCACTACCCTGCATGTTTTGGCACATACAAGGTATCTAGATCTTTCAGAGCTCAAACGCGAGCACCTACAAAAATCTTGACCTTCTATTTGAATACTGATTTGTGAATATAAAAAAATGTTATCCGTTGGACTGATTTGTCATGTTTACCAAAGGCTACAGGTTGAAAGGACTCGGTAGATTTCACTGAAGTTGGGCATCTTGACTTTCAAGTTGGTCAGAAGTATTGATCACAAAATATATAGTGTTTAGCCTGTTACCACAGTGATAATACACACGTTCTTCTGTTGGTATAGAACAATTTTCTTCTCTAACCCTTTCAAATATTTGGATTCTATCTTCTTGTGAGATGGACTGGGCAAATAAAGCTTTTGACTTAATTTCTTTTGCATATTTGATTGAAGAGAGTGCTGTGTGAATGTTGACTGGTCATTTAGTCTCCATGTCAGACCATGTTTTGTAACTACTTCATTACAAGTGTTCTTAGACTCCACTGACAGATGGTATGAAATAAATATTAGCCCAAACTGTATCTAGCCTTGCTATCATAACCTTAAATAATATTATTACCAGAAGATGTTGTCTAGTTCTTAACCAGTTTGTCATTATTCAGGATTCCTCTATAGTCTTTAAACACACACACACATACACACTCTCTCTCTCTCTCTCTCTCAGGCTGTCAGGTCAACCAGTTCTCAATGTTAGCGAATCTTGATTTGCTGAGCTTGAACAATCAACTTGCTTGTAAAGAGGAGGGGATCTACACCACCAACTTCTGTAGAATCTAAGCTTTCACTTAAAGAAAATGAACATTTCTAGAACCTGAGTTGATGGCAATCTTTCAAATATGAACCAAATATAAACAAATAAAATCTTCTTCCTGAGTCTGCAGAAGTTGTTTCCTTTACTACTCCTATCTGACAAGCTGCAAAAGAGTGAAACTAGCAAGATGCTGATCAGTTTCCTAGCTGCTGTTGGGAACACTATGGGTAGCAGAGAAATTGGCATGAATCAGGTTAGTTTCATGCTGTTGCTCCTGCCTTTCCCAGGCAGCAGCACCAGAGTCAGGTGATACAATACTAATCAGGAACAGAATATCTGAAAATGGAGACTCAGGAAGAGATAAAGTAAAAGAAATCTTTTCTTCCCTCTCCATGCCTCTTTTCAGCTGTCAGTTATCTGGGGAGGAACGGAGTACTGGGAACCTCTTCCTTTTCTCCTCACTGGCAGCCAGGAGACCCTGGAAGATAATGAAGACCCAAAAAGCTCTTTCACCCAGATCCTCAAAGGCATTTAGGCACCTATGCCCAATGGAAAGTCAGTGAGAGTTTTATCCCTTCAGTAGCTTCAAATTTATTAAGCCCACCAGAAACTGATTACACCCCATCTTGTCAGATAGGCCTGGTAGTGTTCAAGGCCACCATGATGGTAGAAATTCTAGAATACTCCACCTTTTTGATGGCGGAGGAGATGGGCTTATACTAGGAATTACACCTGGAGTTTCACTTTTTCCCACCGTCTTTTGTATTTATCTCTGATTAGAAGTTATCTGATAAAAATTTTCAACACCTGGTAATTGGCATGGGAAGTTGTCCATCTGGTGGAAACATTTAGTTTTGATAAGTGAGTTCTCACTTCAGTTATTATATTCTACAAAGTAGTTTATATAAAACATAACATAATCCTTTGCCAGTGCCCCTTTGTGCTGTGCTAGACCGAGAGTTTAAATCTTACTATCAGCAAATTGAAACAGGAAAAATTGAAAGGTCTTGTAATGACACTCCCCTCTAAAATTGGTTGATACTACTCATTTTTTGTTTTTTTCCTGGCTCAGAGAAACAGAGCTCTCTCAATAGCCAAACTAGACGTTTGGGTTTTACCTTTATGTTTTGGTCATCCCCGGCCACCTTTCCTTTAATCTCTTAATTAGATAAACAAAGAATGAATATTTTAC